CAGAGTACCAATGCATCTACTGAACAAACTAGACTTACAAAGACTATAAAAACACAAAGGCTATAAAAACAGACAAAGGGGACAATCCAATAAGAAGAGAGGAAGAGCCTGTGGCTGGGGCTGTTGCAGCCTCAACTGCCCAGCCAGGGATCTGAGCCAAACTATCATCGTCAGAATGTCGGGCAAAGACCAAATTGAAATCTTTCCCTCATGCATGGCACAGACCATCATGAAGGCTCGATTAAAAGGAGCACAGACAAGTCGAAACCTCCTGAAGAAAAAATCTGATGGCTTAACTCTTCGATTTCGACAGATCCTAAAGAAGATAATAGAGACTAAAATGTTGATGGGTGAAGTGATGAGAGAGGCTAACTTTTCACTTGCTGAGGCCAAGTTCATAGCAGGGGATTTCAGCACCACAGTTATCCAAAATGTAAATAAAGCCCAAGTGAAGATCTGAGCTAAGAAAGATAACGTAGCAGGTGTTACTTTGACAGTGTTTGAACATTACCATGAAGGAACTGACAGTTATGAAGTTACTGGTTTAGCCAGAGGTGGGGAGCAGTTGGCGAAATTAAAGAGGAACTATGCCAAAGCAGTGGAGTTACTGGTGGAACTAGCTTCACTTCAGACTTGCTTTGTTACTTTGGATGAAGCCAATAAGATAAGCAACAGGCGTGTCAATGCCATTGAACACGTCATCATTCCCCGTACTGAATGTACCCTTGCTTATATCATCACAGAGCTGGATGAGAGAGAGCGAGAAGAGTTCTACAGATTAAAGAAAATACAGGAGAAGAAAAAGATTCTCAAGGAAAAATCAGAGAAAGACTTGGAGCAACGGAGGGCATCTGGTGAGGTGATGGAGCCTGCTAATCTTTTGGCTGAAGAGAAGGATGAGGATCTTGTTTGAATAATCTTTCCTGCTCTGGTTCTTTCATAAGCCCTAACATGGCACCATTTCAATTCACGGTGTGTAGGTTTGGTATGTGTGGCTATTTATTTTTTGGCCTAAGAATTTCACTGGTGGTAAAAGTTCCCTGGATGTTGGTTATGGGACTACCTTTGCAAAATCCTAATTCGGCAACCATTTATCACAAGAGATTTGTAGACTCTGCCCAGGAACCTGTAGAATTTATTCAGCAGAAGCAGTACCCTGCTCCATGCACTTCTGTTCAAGTGATCTGCTTTCCAAGCATATTAGGAAATCCCCCTTAGGAAACAGCAGTGGCCTCAGGCCAGCTATGGCTGTGGCTGCCTGTGTTCCCACCTGCTCCGACACTGACACCGTGACACTGTTGTCTGAGATCACTGTGGCCATCTTGTGGAAGCCTGGTACTTTTTTCCAGCTTTATGAAACCTTCACTATTTGCCTTGCCTGACAGGTCTCTGTCCTGTCTGTCATGGGAGTTCTGCCAATTTTAATGTGATTATGGTATAAACAGTAAAATGATTTAAAAATGAAAAAAAAAAGAAAATATAACAATTGTAAATATTTATGCCCCCAAATTGGGAGAAGCCCAATACATAAAACAATTAATAACAAACATAAAAGAACTATATGGATAATAACACATATTAGGTCACAAAATAGGCTTCAACAAAAACCAAAAGATTGAGATCATCATACCTGACCTTTTCTGACCATAATACTATGAAACTAGAAGTCAACCACAAGAAAAAATCTGGAAAGACCACAAATACATGGAGGTTACAAAACATGCTACTAAACAATAAATGGGTTAACCAGGAAATCAAAAATACATGGAAACAAATGAAAACGAAACTATAACAGTCCAAAACCTTTGGGATGCAGCAAAAGTGGTCCTAAGAAGGAAGCACATAGCAATACAGGCCTACCTCAAAAAGCAAGAAAAATTTCAAATAAACAACCTAACCTTACACCTAAAGCAGCTGGAAAAAGAACAACAAATGATGCCTAACCAGCATAAGGGAAGTAATAAAAATTAGAGCAGAAATAAGTGATATATAAACTAAAAAACAACAACAACAACAACAACAACAACAGGGGTGCCTGGGGGGCTCAGTCGTTAAGCGTCTGTCTTCGGCTCAGGTCACGATCCCAGGGTCCTGGGATGGAGCCCTGCACTGAGCTCCCTGCTCCGCGGGAAGCCTGCTTCTCCCTCTCCCACTCCCCCTGCTTGTGTTCCCCTCTCTCACTGTGTCTCTCTCTGTCAAATAAATAAATAAAATCTTAACAACAATAAGAAAAAAGAAACTAAAAAAAAATAGATTGATAAAAGTAGGAGCTGGTTCTCTGAAAAAAATCAATAAAATTAATAAACCTCTAGCCAGACACATCAAGAAAAAAAGAGAAAGGACTCAAAATCACAAATGAGAGAGGAGAAATAACAATTATAAGAGAATATTATGAAAAATTATATGCCAACAAACTGGACAACCTGGAAGAAATGGATAAATTTCTAGAAACATAAACTACCAAAACTGAAACAAAAATAGAAAACTTGAACAGACTGATAAAAGTCCAGGGCCAGAGGGCTTCACAGGGGAATTCTACCAAACATTTAAAGAATTAATACCTATTCTTCTCAAGCTGTTCCAAAAAATGGAAGAGGTAGGAAAACTTCCAAATCCATTCTATGAGGCCAGCATTACTCTGATACCAAAACCAGATAAAGACTCCACTAAAAAAGAGAACTATAGGCCAATATCCCTGATGAACATGGATATAAAAATTCTCAAAAAAAAAAACTACTAGCAAACTGAATCCAACAGTACATTAAAAGAATCATTCACCACGATCAAGTAGGATTTATTCCTGGGCTGCAAGGGTGGTTCAACATATTCACAAATCAATCAACGTGATACATCACATTAATAAAAGAAAGGATAAGAACCATATGAGCCTTTCAATAGATGCAGAAAAAGCATTTGACAAAGTACAACATCAATTCATGATAAAAACCCTCAACAAAGTAAGTTTAGAGGGAACATATTTCAACATAATAAAGACCATATATGAAAAACCCACAGTTAATATCATCCTCAATGGGAAAAACTGAAAGCTTTTCCTCTATGGTCAGGAACACGACAGGGATGTCTACTCTCACCACTTTTATTCAACATAGTACTGAAGTTCTAGCCACAGCAATCAGATAACAAAGAGAAATAAAAGTCATCCAAATTAGCAAGGAAGAAAAAACTTTCACTATTTGCAGATGACATGATACTCTATCAGAAAACCTGAAAGACTCCAATAAAAAACTGCTAGAACTGATAAACAAATTCAGTAGAGTTGCAGAATACAAAATCAATGTCAGAAACCTGTTGCATTTCTATACACCAATAATGAAGCAGCAGAAAGAGAGATCAAGGAATCGATCCCATTTACAACTGCACCAAAAACAAGATACCTAGGTATGGTACTGGCACAAAAATAGACACATAGAGCAATAGAACAGAATAGAAAACCCAGAAATGAACCCACAACTACATGGTCAATTAACATTGACAAAACAGGAAAGAACATCCAATGGCAAAAGATGGTCTCTTTTGGTGGAGTTGGGAAAACCAGACAGAAACACGCAAAAGAAAGAAACTGGACCACTTTCTTACACCAAACATAAAAATCAATTCAAAATGGATTAAAGACCTAAATCTGAGACAGGAAACCATCAAAATCCTGGAGACCACAGGCAGTAACCTCTTTGACATCGGCCCCAGCAACTTCTTTCTAGATATGTCTCCTGAGACAAGGGAAATAAAAGCAAAAATAAACTACTGGGACTACATCAAAATAAAAAGCTTCTGCACAGTGAAGGAAAAAGCTGACAAAACTAAAGGGCAACTAACAGAATGGGAGAAGATATTTGCAAATGCCTTATCAGATAAAGGGTTAGTATCCAAAATATATAAAGAACTTATCAAATTCAACACCCCAAAACAAATAATCCAATTTAAAAATGTGCAGAAGACGTGAATAGTTTTCCAAAGACATACAGATGGCCGACACATGAAAAGATGCTCAACATCACTTACCATCAGAGAAATGTGAATCAAAACCACAACGAGATAATACCTCACACCCGTCAGAATGGCTAAAACAACACAAGAAACAAGAAGTGTTGACAGGAATGAGGAGAAAGAAGAACCTCTTGCACTGTTGGTGGGAATGCAAACTGCTGCAGCCACTCTGGAAAACAGTATAGACCTTCCTCAAAAAATTAAAAATAGAACTACCCTATGATCCAGCAATTGCACTACTGGGTATTTACCCAAAGGATACAAAAATACTAATTCAAAGGGATACATGCCAAATCTGGAAACAGACCGAGTGTCCATTGACTGATGAATGAATAAAGATATAGTATATACACACACACAATGGAATATTACTCAGCCATCAAAAAAGAATGAAATCGTGCCATTTGCAACAACATGGATGGATTTAGAGAGTATTATGTTAAGCAAAAGAAGTCAGGGAAAGACAAATACCATATGATTTTATTCATATGTGAAATTTAAGAAACAAAACAAAAGAGCAAAGGGAGAAAAAAAAGAGACAAACCAAGAAACAGACTCTTAACTATAGAGAACAAACTGATGGTTACTGGAGGGGAGGGGGGTGGGGGGGGTGGGTGAAGGTGATGGGGATTAAGGAGGGCACTTGTGATGAGCACCAGATGTATGGAAGTGTTGAATCGATGTGCTAGACATGTGACTCACTGTATATTAACTAACTGGAATTTAAATAGATCTTAAAACAACAACAACAACAAAAAGATCACATAGAAATCTGCACAGAACTGAAATGAAGTTGGAGTAGCAACTTAAAAACTTCCCACAAAGAGAAGCCAGGCCCAAAGGAATGTGTCCATTTCTTCTAAAATATTCCCACCTCCCCAAATTCTTACCATGCATGTACATATGTATGCATGTGTATCTATGGTATTAATCACCCAGAAGCCCAGCAAGGCATCTCAGCTTGACTACACTTTAATTAGAAACAACTAGACAAGGAGAAAAATTAGCAATTAGATATTTTTATATACAGATATAACCACCTCTAAGAGGTGAAGTTAAAGGAGGGTGTTTTAGAGAATTTTTATGGTCCTTTTCAGCTCTTTAGGTCCACGACTCTGCATTTAATGGGAGAGGGCAATCAACTGTGCACCTGATAGTCTCTGCAGGAGGTAAAACATAATACAAAGAGTAACACATCATTAAATCTTCTGTTATCACAGAAATAAGAAAAACTTTTGAAATGTTCATTTCAGCTCTAGTCAAAAACTAGTAAAAAAAAGTTCGTTGTTCCCTGCTAGAATATAACAGGAACAACTCCTGAAGGGCTCAACCTTTGGGGGCACAGAGAGATTTTAAACTATCAAGCCGTAAGTCCAAGAAATAGAGCCCACAGTCCTACACTGGGCATTTCCTCAGGCAAAGCTGGGAACCACATCCTGACATCTTCTGTAACACAACAAGCTCTGTTACTTGGTTATTTCCAAGTTGACACCAATTCCACTGCTTAGTTTAGAAGTCCTTTTAAATAAAAAGAAAAGGGCACCACATTTGAGTTCTAAGTATATGTTAAAATTAGCTTCTCCCTCTTTTTCCTCTTCCTCTTCTTTTCTTCCAACTGGCTGGTTGCATCAGCAAAAAACATAACTTCACTTTTCGCCTCGCATTCCCTCTTGAGATATTCAAGACCTGCCATGTTGAAGCCAATAACATCCTGGGGGGTTGCGGGGGGAATGTAAGAAAGATTAAATGACCTTTCTTTCACTTCAGTTCAATACAGCAGCATAAGCAAGTCAGGAGAACCAATGCTTCAGGTGTTCTTACTCATCCCTCCTTGTCCAAGGTCTTTCTGGTTTGGTTTTGTTTTCTTCTCTCTATTCCTACAAGCTCCAACGAAAATCTTATCGCAAATACTGATATATGTCTGGTCAATACCACCAAAGACAAGGCACAGCTCCCTATGCTACTTCTAAGTCACACACACACCAGGATCTCCCCCTCGTTACTGTACTTCTACACGGATACCTACCCGGACTTGGCTGACTTTTGAAATAGTTGTTTCCTTTAACTTTTCGATCACTGGCACAAGCATTTGGTTACTAGTGATCTGCCCGAAGTGAATCCTAATAAGAAAAACAAAACAGTCATGTTACAAAGAGAGGTAGTGGTTCTGGCTCTGCTTACCCCTGCTAGAAAAGCAAATAGACAATATCAAAGTAAAACAAAACAAAACACAACAGAAAAAGATTCATTTTACCATATCATTATGGCAGTATAGAAATGCTTCTGGCAAAAAATAGCTAAAGATGTTTCTTCCCTGCTACTCAGTTCTATCTATCAATTTTAACACTACTATCGTAAAAGTTATGACACACTCAACTCATTTGCAAAGCTGGCTCTTTTCGTAGCCATCTACCATGCGGCCACAGACTCTGAAAATGGTATTTTATGGAAAGCTCAGAGAAATGAACTCTCTAAGAAATACTAACTCAACAAAGGTTTATTAATATTTCTAGCGAAGCCACAGCAAAAAAGAGTCCCTGATCAGGGAGTCAGACTCCGACCTAGAGTATCAAGATCATGTCCATGAACTCATGTTCCTCGGTGCACATCCTCAAGCCCACCTGTGACCAGCTACTGCTACTTGTACGGCCCTCCCCATCCGTGACCCCTCTGATATGCCGGAAGCCCTCATGGTGTCTCACTTAGAATCAGTAACCCTGATTTCAATAGTACAGATACCACAGCGGTAAGAAATTATTAGTAACATTGTTGAGTACCAACTGAAGGCCTCAGGACTTGCCCAGAATTATAAATATGGCAAGAGAATATTATAAACATATCACTGTTCTTCTTTTGCTACTATCTTGATGGAATAAAAGGAACAGAGGATTAAGAAGCATGAAAATGATTGAGTCAAATTCCAATTCATGAAATATACCTGTCTGGGGTTTTTTTAACTATTTGGTATTGGCTGATCAGTTTGTATTTTATCTTCCTAAGAGCATTTTAAAGAGTGTTCAATCTCTGTTTCTGTTCACTGCTCTAACAGCTGGAGACTGAGGGACAGAGAACAGGATTCAAGAAGAGTATATTCTTAAACTCTTGTAAATATATTCTTCTCAATTACATACTAAGAGGAACTGTTCATATTTAAGCATAATCCCATAAACATATTTTCTTCGTTTCTTCCTTCCCTCCCTGTATGCCCTTACTTTTCCATTTGTTTCTACAGAGTCCTGGAAAGTAAAGGCACCATTCCTTATGATGCTGTTATGAGGACAAAACTAAATCATTTTGCTTACACAGTTAAAAAGACACAACAAATGAGGCCAACTGGCCATTCAGTAATGGGCTCTCAGCAAACAGACAAGGATCAGAGCTCCTGCAACCTGGAGACCCATGCTTATGCAAGCGTCCCCGAGTGATGCTCTATCTTGTGACTTAAAGAGGTGGGCCATCACTCTCCTTGTGTAAGGACAAGACTGATTCCGCAGGATAACAATTTATGTCCCACAACAATGAAATCCTGTAACTCTCTCAGTCTGAAACATCAGATTTCTTAATCCCAGAGCGTTGATACCATTAGTTCAAGTAGCACCAGAGCAGTTAGGTGGAGCAGACACAGTATTCTTTGGAAAGGATGTTACCTGAGCAGAAAGAAGAGGCACCTACACAGAAGTTCAATATCAGAGCCCAGCTGGATGAATTCATTAAAGAGCTTAAGGATGTCCGGGACATAAGAAAAAGGTAGCACAAGCAGAGACTCTTCCAGCTCACTGAAGAAGAAGAGAATAAGCATTAAAAATGTCACATTTCTCAACATGCTCAATTTTTAAATCTTTTACTATTTTTTTCCTCCTGCTTTTATATTTGAATAGATCTTACCCATTCAGGGTTAAATTAACTATTCATCTATATTCTGGATGGTTCCCTCTTTTCAATATTTTCTTTTTTATATTTAATATTTTAATCTATTTGATGCATTCTGGTCCATGGCATGATAGGAGAATCCAACTTTTTTTTTTTTTTTTTAGAGAAATAATTTCTCCAGAGTCTTTTGTTGAATATTCCATCTTTATATGATACTGCTTTTTGCCATACATTGAGACATATGAGACTCTGTTTCAGGGCTTTCTAGTCTGTTTTAATGATTGATTCTAACAACAATCCTGTAGTGTTTTAGTTTTGTTAATTTTATAGCTTTTTAATTTAGGAGGATAGCTCTCTCTTGTTTTCTTCTGGTTTGTTTTATTTTTCTTGAACTAGTTCTAGCATCATTTCATTAACTCCAATTCCAAATCTCAAGAGGTTTTCAACTGGGCTCACAAACCTATGAACTAGTTTTAAAAAAAAAACAAAAAACAAAACCTAAATCTTTAGAACATAGGAATGCACAACACTTCCATTAATTTAAATTTTGATTTACATTTCTCCAGGGAAGTTTCAGATCCTCAGATAGTGTATTTATTTCTTGTTGTAAGGGACAGATTTAGAGATTAAGAAAAGTTATTAAAATAACTTTTAAGTAGGTAAAATTCATAAAATCCAAAGGTAAATCACAAAGAAACATTATTTTAAAAAAATATATGACAAAAGATACAAAAATTCTTAAAAACCAGTAAGAAACTACTGAACAGTATAAAAAAGGAAAAGTAACTAAAAATTCACAGAAAAAAACACAAATGGCCAACAAATATAAAATTTGTTTCATTAATAATCGAAAGAAATTAAAATAATATAATACCACCTTTTGCCTCCAAACCTGGCAAAAGAATTTTTTAAAGCCTGGTCAAAACCACTATAAACTTTCTGGAAAGTAATTCAGCAACACAGACCTTTAAAAAATTCATGCCCACTGATAGTTATTGTTATGCTATGACAAAGATTCCTATGTAAAGGTGTTCACTGAAGCAGTACTGATTAACAGCAAAAAAACAAAAGCAAATCCAATAGTAATTATCCATACAATGGAATGTTTTGACATAATTCAACACATGTATTTTTGAAGAATATTTCTAACTTGAGCAAATGCTCAGGAAATATTCTGTGAAAAAGAAAAGGATATAAAATTATATACATAGAATTCCAATTGTGTATGTACACAGAAAATAAGCCAAAGGAAACACATAACCAAAAAAGGTTACCAGTTGGTACTTGTGACTGATGATGATTTCATTACCTATAATATAAAGTAGGACTACCCTTCATTTGTCTCTAAAAGCATCTCCCTTCATACTTTAGGAGGAGCCTCCTAGTTCTGCTTCAGAAAGACATTATAATATACTATTTTCCACCAAAATGTTGACATAATTAAACCTATAAGGAAAATAACCATCAATTATAACTGCTGTTTATCTCATGGCCAGAAAAGCATTCGATAAATGCTGTTAGCTGACAAATTATACTCACTGTACACTGGGACTCACCTCGACTTGATTCCTTTAAAAATCTCCAACACATAAGCTGAAGGCTATAAAGGAAGCAAATAACAGCCTTAGTGATACTCTAGGTTGGTTTCTACTGGAGATCTGTAATTCCCATCTAAAAACCAGGGATCCCACTCAGAGGAGAAACAGTATTCTAGGATGGCAATATACATGCATGGGCTTAGAGTTTGTCCCATGTGGGTTCACAGCCCAGCTCCACCACTTCCCAACTCTGTTCCCTTCTATCCGTGAGTCAGGCTAATTTCCCATCTGTAAAATGAGACTACACTGACTCACATGATGACCATGATGAATGACATGTGTAAGTAAAGTACTACGTAACTGGAGACTGCTACATAAGCATACATTTCTCTCTCTGTCCTCCTTTATCTGACTGATTTACGTCAACTCTTCCTCCAAAAACCTCAATTTCAAAGTTCATTTAGATGAAGAGAATCTTCAGAGGGCTTTGGATACTGAACATAAATAAGCACTAGAAAATAAGAGAATGCGGGACGTCTGGGTGGCTCAGTTGGCTAAGCATCTGCTTTGGGCTCAGGTCATGATCCCAGAGTCCTGGGATCAAGTCCCACATCAGCCTCCTTGCTCAGCAGGGAGCCTGCTTCTCCCTCCACCTCTCCCCCTGCTTGTGCTCTCTCGCTCTCTGACAAATAGATAAAATCTTAAAAAAAAAAAGAAAGAAAATATGAGAATGCCAATCCAGTCCAACCAAAACAGATGACTTAGAAGTTACACTAAAATGGTCCTTTTGAAACGCTCAATACCCTAGAGGACAGGATGAGAGTGTTAATGGCAAAGTTTTTCCTAATGCATCCAGCCTCAAATCATGCCTCTGCACTTCCTACTGTCCCTCTCTTGTCCCTGAAAGTAACTTTTGAGTAACCAAGGGGGAACTGGTAGACACTCTACTTACAGAGATATTGCCATAAGCCATCAGGATGGGGTTGATGGGAAGAGGAACCTGTGAAGAAATCATTAGATCAAGTCACTATAAAACAAGACAGTGTTTGTCACAGGCAGTGCGACGACAGTACAGTTTTGAAAGAATATACAAGAAATATCAGGCCTTTTAATTTCCATAGTGCTAATGAGTTCAGGCAATTCTAGAATTTCTAGAATTCATCTGGAAACCTGCAACGGTTGTGGTGCGTCCGAAACCCTACAGGAGCAGTTTCTGCCCATACGGTGAGCACGTCAGTCTGCAACTGTATTAAGACCCAAGTCCCCTCCTCACAGCCCCTCGACTCCTTCTTTCTAATATTTGAATTAGAAAAGACTCTATTACATTTATGTCATTTCCTGATCTGAGTCAGTAACTCCCACAGCGATGGTGTTCTTCTCAGGAATTCTATGGATACATGTTTCTCAGAGTGTAACTCCATGGACTATCTCACCTCTTTCCCTGCAGCTTTACAAATGGCTTTATGTTCCTTCCTTTTTGCAGTCTCCTCTCGGTATAGCTCGACAGCCTCCATGATCCTCTCAGCCTATGTGGATGGTGACAAAGGAGAGAAGTCATCAACCATGTGTCCCAGCATCCCGGAACCCTACAATTGGAAGGCCTGACTAGAAAAGAACCAACTAGCTTGAATCGGTTTAATAAATGTGTGCCAAGAGAGTGCCGAACAGCATGTGGTAATGTCTCTTGGTGTTTCTTTTTCTATTTAATTTACAGGGAGGAGACAAAGCATCTTGGGTTCAGGTGAGGTCATATGTATGTGTGCACATGGAGTAGGGCAGCTCCCAGGACCTCTGAGGAGTGCTGCTTCCAAGGAGATCAAGCCTTCCTTTCTAGAAACCATGTGCCGATTCAACATGACTCCTGTCCTTGGTTACAAGGGAGGACAACAGAGGTTCTGAGCTTCATCTATGAATTTCATCAACTTTTGGCCATAAAAGGGCTACCTGGTTGATAAAAACTTTCACTAAAAAATTGGGATCCTGCTTAAAAATGTACACATCTATACCTATAGACACAGAATATATATCAACTTACTGCCTTGACCGTTTCAATAGTTTTCTTTCCAGTAAAGTAATTGTCACCTTGAGTCTCTCCTGGAACCTGCCAGAAACAAAGAGATCCTTCACAATATTGTTGACAGGCACTAAAGAACCAATAAATTAATCTTATATCCAGAAAAGAGCAGGCATCACTATGTTATAATACTATCATGGTGCTATCAACTACTATTAATGGAGTACTTAATAAGTGCCAGACGCTATTAAGTATTTTATATTCATTATCGTAAGAATATCCTACCCTCTATTATGCTAAGCGAAATAAGTCAATCAGAGAAAGACAAGTATCATATGATCTCACTGATATGAGGAATTTGAGAAACAAGACAGAGGATCATAGGGGAAGGGAGGAAAAAAATGAAACAAGATGAAACCAGAGAGGG